ACATATAATAAATTATTCCTGGCGAACTCAAACTAAAGAGACTCTGGCCAGTCTAATATATACGGTCGCGATAGTATCATCGCTCACAAATAACCCTAAAAATAAATACATATATATATATAATAAATTAGCCCCGGCAAACTCAAACTAAAGAGACTCTGGCCAGTCTAATGTATATGGTCGCAATAGTATCATGATGCTGTAATAAGTGTACTATGGATACTACTTACTAAGAAACGATTTCGACTAATAATGGTAAATAGAAAAAAATTAGTATATTAAATAATTATTTTACTTTATATAATCTATATACGTACATATAAGACCTCTAAAAATAAATACATATAATAAATTAGCCCCGGTGAACTCAAACTAAAGGGTCTCTGGCCAGTCTAATATATACGGTCATGATAGTATCATCACTCACACATGACTCTAAAAATAAATACATGTATACACAGTATATATAAATTAGCCCAGAGAACTTGAGCCAAAGGGACTCTGGCCAGTCTAATGTATATGATCGCAATAGTATCATCGCTCACATGCGCCGTAATAAGCGTACTCTAGATACTGCTTACTAAGAAATGATTTCGACTAATAATAATAAATAGAAAAAAAATTAATCAAATTTCAAGTATTCTGATTATTAAAAACATAATATATATTAAATAAGGGTCGGAACAGAATCACGTGAATAAATAGAATTTCGGCGAAACAAAGAAAAAAAGCAAAAAAATTGAAACAAAGTCAACCTAATTTAAAGACAACCCTAATATATGGGGTGGTCAATAGAAACCAAGCAAATTTATCTAATAAATTAGCTATATATTATAAAAATGGTTTGATCGCGCGTTCAGTATTTATTTTGTACCTGCATCTGTGCAGGGCACAGAAAAATAAACACTGATCACGTTCTATTTTTTTTTATCAAAAACAATATATACCGGTATGTACGTACGTACATCTAATTGGCTGATATAAAAAAGGTTTAGATCAAAAAACTGTAATATAAAATTAAAGATAATCAATTTCGATATGTTTCAATATATCTCTAATTTGTTTTCGTACCATTCCTCACCTATATGTTCTCCCGAAACTGAATGTTCCCCCAAGTCTGAATGTTCCCCTGAGACTAAAGGTTCCCTCAAGTCTAAAGGTTTCCCTGAGTCTGAAGGTTTCCCCAAGCCTGAATGTTCCCCCAATTCTGAAGGTTCCTTCAAGCCTGAATGTTCACCCAATTCTAAACGTTCCTCTGAGTCTAAACGTTCCCCCAAGTTTGAATATTTCCCAATTCTAAATGTTTCCTTAAGACTGAATGTTCCCTCGTGTCTGAATGTTCCCTGTGCTTGAGCGTTTATGTTCTTTCGAGTACTCCAGCTCCACCATATATTTCTTCACTATATGTTTCTCCATATCCTCTTGTTTCCTTGAGGCTGAATGTTCCCCTGTGTCTGAACGTTCCTCTATGTCTGAATGTTCCCCCATGTCTGAACATTCCCCCATGTCTGAACGTTCTCCCATGTCTGAACGTTCCCCCGAGTGCTCCCTGATAGGTTTCCTTGAACCTACAAGGTATAGGTATTTATAAGAAAGTTATTGAGTTATGAATGAGTTAGTTTGCATTGCAGTAATTGTAAAATTCTATTAAGAAAAACACGAAGCCAGAAGCAAAAGTGGTCTAGTGAAGAATTAGAAGCCCTTGCTTATGGAATGCGTATATATAGCACGTGCTGGGCTGCTATAAAAAAAAAATTTGAAGGTCCTTTAAGGAAGAAATTGCAGGTTAGCCTCAAAGATAAAGTGAGAGTAGAATTAGAACGTATAATAAAAAATAACCTGCTATTTGGTGTTTTTAATAAAGTTAACGTTCACAAGAACTTTAAATATTAAATTTTTTTATAAAATTTTTTTCTTTAAAAAATTTTTTTTAAATAAATAAAAATGAGATTACTTTTAATAAATAAAATTTGAAAACATGTTA